AAAAAAAAAAAAAAAAAGCCCAGGACCAGATGGTTTCAGTGCAGAATTCTACCACATTTTCAAAGAAGAGCTAATACCAATACTCTTCAAATTTTTTCATACATTAGAAACAGAAGGAATATTACCAAACTTTTTATGAGGCTACAGTTGCCCTGATACCCAAACCACACAAAAATGCAACAAAGAAAGAGAATTACAGACCAATCTCCCTCATGAACATTGATGCAAAAATACTCAATGAAATATTGGGAAACCGAATCAAAAAACACAAAAAAAAATTATCCACCATGGCCAAGTAGGCATCATCTCAGGGATGCAAGGATGATTCAACATACGAAAATCTGTCAATGTAATTCACCATAGAAGCAAACTGAAAGAAAAAAAATACATGATCTTCTCATTAAATACTGAAGAATCCTTTGACAAAATCCAACACCATTTCATAATAAAGTTTCTAGAGAGATTGGAAACACAAGGAACCTAAACATAAAGGCAATTTACAGCAAGCCCACAGCCAATATCAAATTAAATGGAGAGAAACACAAAGCAATTCCATTAAAATCAGAAACAAGACAAGGCTTTCCACTCTCCTGGCATATACTCAATATAATACTTGAAGTTCTAGCTAGAGCAATAAGAAATTAAAAGGAGATCAAACGGATAGAAATTAGAAAGGGAGAAGTCAAACTTTCTCTATTTGCAGACAATATGATAGTATACCTCCGTGACTCCAAAAATTCTACCAGAAAACTTATGTAGCCTCTTTGGAAATCAGTATGGGTGTTTCTCTGAAAATTGGTAAACAATCTACCTCAAGATCCAGCTATACCACTCTTGGGCATATACTCAAAGAATGCTCAATCATACCACAAGGACACATGCTCAACTATGTTCATAGCAGTATTATTTGTAATAGCCAGAACATGGAAACAATTTAGATGCCCCTCAACTGAAGAATGGATAAAGAAAATGTGGCACATACACACAATGGAGTACTCTCAGTAGGAAAAAAAAAAACATTGGTATCATGAAATTTACAGGCAAATGAATGGAACTAGAAAATATCGTGAGTCAGAAGGACAAACATGGTATGTACTCACTCATAAGTGGATACTAGATGTAAAGTAAAGGATAAACAGACTACAACCCACAGCCCCAGAGAAGCTAGCTAACAAGGAGGACCCTAAGAGGGAAGCATAGATCGCCCAGTGAAGGAGAAATAGATGAGATCTCCATTAGCAAACTGGGGGTGTGGGGGTTGATGAGAGGCAAGGCATGGGGGATAAGAACATAAGGGAATGGGAGGTTCAAGTTGGAACAGGGACAGAGTGGGAGAGCAAGGAAAGAGATACCATGATAAAGGAAGACACCATGGTAATAGGGAAAAGTGCTAGGAAAGTTGCCAGTAATCCATAAGGATGACCCCACCTTAGACTACTGTCAATAGTGGAGAGAGTGCCTGAACTGGCCTATTCTGGTAATCAGATTAGTGATTAGCCTAACTGGCATCATAGAGCCTTCATCCAGTAGCTGATGAAAGCAGATACAGAAATCCACAGCCAGGCACCAGGCCGAGCTCCAGAAGTCCAATCAATGAGAGAGAGTAGGGATTCTATGAGCAGGAGACATTGAGAGGATGATGGGAAAGCATACAGAGATGGCCACCCAAACTAGTGGAAACTCATGAACCATTAGCTGTGGAGTCCCCATGGGACTGGACTAGACTCTCTGGATAGGTGAGATAGTTTTTAGCTTGAACTGTTTAGGGCCCCCCAGGCAGTGGAATTGAGATCCATTTCTGGTGCATGAGCGGCCTTTTTGGAACACAAAGCCTATGGTAGGAAACCTTACACAGCCTTGGTGCAAGAGGGAGGAGCATGGACCTGCCCCAACTGAATGTACCAGGATCTGCTGAGTCCCCATGGGAGACCTTGCCTTGGAGGAAGTGAGAATGGGGGGTGGGTTGAGAGGGAAGGCACTGGGGTGGGAGGAGGGAGGAGAGGGGGATCTGTAGTTGGTCTATACAATGAAAGGAAATTTTCTTAATAATAAAAAAAGAAAAAATCTGCCAAGAAACAAGTGAAGCCAAAGCTGGGCATTTATAATTAAGAAAAATAAAATATTAGTGTAAATTCACATGACAAATGAAAATTAAGATATAAAAATGATCTTTGAGAAACTCAGAACCACAAAAGTAAAACAATCCTTCATTAGAGTAACAAGCATAAATTTATATTACAAAAAAAATAGAATCATATACAAAATATGGAAAGAAACAGAATAAGAATAAAATTCCCAGAATATAGATCTAAAAGTCAAAAGTATTTTCAAGGCTATATTGAAATATAGCATGGTAGAAAGTAATTGGTTGCTTAGCGTAGGTTGTTTGTGGGACTCCTAACAGTGGGAATGTGGGTATCTCTGACTCTTACTTGCTCTTGGGACCCTTTTCCTCCCACTGGTCCTACTTTGCCTCACCCAGCCTCGATATGGGAGTTTGTGCCTGGTCTTCTCACATCTTAAGATGACATTTTAGGTTGATATCCTGGGAAACCTGTACTTTTCTGAAGGCAAATGATTAACAGTGGATCTGGGAAAGAGAGGAGGTGGGAGGGGCAGAATGGGAGGAGAGGAGAGAAGAAAGGCTGCCATCAAAGAGTATAGTACCAGAGAAGAATTTTTTATAAAGAACGGGAAAAATAAAAAAAGAGGAAATGTTAATGAAATAATACTTTTTTATAATAAAATTATTATATGCAAAAAAGAACATATATTCCGGCAAGTGTTTGTCTGAGTCATGATATTAATCTACCTATGTGATGTTTCTATTCCTGTGTTCATTATAATACAGAGGCCATATATATTTCAAAAGATCTTGGGTGCCAGCAATATGGCACAGGGTATTGAGGTGTTTGCTGCCATGCCTGAACACTACATTGAAAATACAGGAGTCAAATAGAGAGATGGAGACTGACACCCACATCTTTCTTCTGACATGGCCAAGTGCCCCATTCCATGCTAATCAGAGCACAAGCACGTGTGCACATAAAAACATACTAACACCAACACCAACACACACACACACAAACACAAATACAGAAAAGAGAGGATGTTACCATTAAGGAATATACTGGATTGGAATGGCTCATTCCTGGCATATATATGAAGCCATGAAACAATAGGGGTGCCTTCCTCTGTACCACAGAAAGAGCAAATGGTAGTTTAGGCCTTTTAACTCTAGAGACTTCCAGCTAGATGGAGCTGGATCCGGGTTTTAATTACATTCCTGAAGACACTAATTCCTTGGACCTGAGTGACAACAGGACATTAAAGGCTCTCCCTGGGAATCTCTGCTCCTTCTCATTCATTTTAGTCTTTATATGTGTGCATGAGTGTAAGATAAAAGAGAGAGAGAAGGGTAAATAGAGACACACTGTACACGGTACATGCCAGTGGCCTTTGTGGAGGCTACTGGATGCTCAGGTGTTGGTCTGCAACTTCTCCCTTTCTGGGGGCAGGGTCTCAAGTCATCCTCTGCTCAGAGCTGGCTAGCTGGTCCAGGAACTTCAAGCTTGTTGCCTAGCTCTGCCTGCCATCTTACTACAGTCATGATAGGAGTCCTGAGGTGTTTGCCTTCAGCTCTTATATGTGTTCTTGGGAACCAAAGAGAGGTCCACATACTCCTTATCACTGGGAAAGCATCACATCATCTCCTCTGAACTCTCCATACCACTGATTTGAGTGTACAGGATATCCTGGACCATTCTCTCTTTCCCAGAATGATCAGCAACAATGTAATATACCTCCAGAGACTCCTGAGTACTGGGGTTACATGCTCACACCACTCCATGCTATGTTTCCTCCTTTGGTCACTTGATCTAACCGGGGGCTCTCGTGATTAATCCCCTCTCTAGGTGATATATGGGAAAATATGTGCAACATCCATCCAAGGATGCTTCAGGTCCCACCAGGGGCTGTTAAGGTCTTTAACATTCCACCTCCTACACCTTCACCCTACTGCCCTGCAGGTGTCTCAGACAGGGGCTACAAGGCTACAGGACAGAGGATAAGCCATGTTTCTAACTCACCTCAAGCAATAGGTGGAATAACTTCAGAGGCCTTGGAGAATTCTCCAGCAGGGGGGCTCCAATGGGTGTGGGGCAGGGCCAGAAGTGGACTTGACCCAGAGGGTCAGTGGTCCTGGGACCTGTCTTCGTAGGTCCCTACTGGCCAGGCACACTGGAGAGTGTCCTAAGAACAAAGATGAGGGACTGTCATTAAGAGAGTAAATTAGGGCTGGTTGAGGGGTTCAGTGGACACAGGCCTATACTGCCAGTCCAGGGACTGGAGTGAACTATCCAGATCCTCAGGACCCACATGGGAGGAGAGAAATGACACCCACAAGTTGTCTTCAGACCCATGCCTGTGTGTGATGTTATACCGTGGCTGGGTGTACAAGTCACACAATCCATGTGATACAAATACGTTTAATAAAGGCATGTGCATGGTTAATAGGGAATAAATTCAGTTGGCTGAGTGCCAGTCTCGCATGCAAGAAGCCATCGGTTCCCTCGTCAGCACCGAAAGGCAAGTGATAACTCAGGCCCGTGATCCTGGCTCTCCCAAGGCTCGAGGCAGCTGACAGAGCAATTGAAAGTCCTCCTTGGTGAGACAGTGAGTCTCTACAGTGAACCATCCGACGGGATTTATAAAACCATGAAGTGCCATTAGAGGCTCTCCTTCAGAATGTCCACTTACTCTATTCATGTCACTGTTTGCACTTGCCTCTGTGTCTCTTGTAGACTGGATACACACACAATGGCCTGTGAGCAGGTTCAATAAGTCTCTTGCAAGTATTTGGAGGGAACCAGGCATCACAGGATGTGGTCCTAGCCTTCCACCTTTTTGAAACAGTGCCTTTTCTCCATTGTGCTCCCCCAGCCTGCTGCCCTATGAATTTCTGGACTCTTTGTATCAGCTCTGCCTCCCAGGTGCCCACAGAAAGCCCTTGAGTATGACCTATGCTACTCCCTCAATTTTCCCTGTATTGTTGGGCCTCAAACTCAGATCCTCTGCTGGCTGGCAAGGTCTTACCCAATAAGCCATCTCCTCGGCATTCCTCGTCCTCCACTGCCGAGGGTCCAGGCAAGCCTGGGAAACATAAGGTTTCCCAGGCTCATCTCTAAACAGTAAATCTCAGTGAACCTCCTGAGTGGTGGCATCTCAGGCCACCATCTACTTAAGCACATGATCATTGGTCCTCATCCTTGACTTCCACTCCTCTTGGTCCTTCCCAAGTCTTCTGCCCGTGCCTAGCATAGGAAGCACTCCTTGTAGGAGTGGGGTCTGTGACTGTAGAACCATCTTCCTTCAAAGTCTTCTCCGGTCCCCTCCCAGGGTTATAAGGTCTCTACCATCCACCTCCAGCATCTGCAACTGCAGACCCCTAGAGCTGTCTAAGCATGAGTCGGAGGTGGGGGCCATGGTACAGATGATAATTCAAGTATCCCACTCACCTCAAGAAATAGGGGGGATAGCTTCAGAGACTTTTGGAAGTCTCCTCCTGCAAATGAGCTCCAATGGTGGGGATCCGGTAATGGACTTGACCCAGAGGGTCAGAGGTCCTAGGACCTGATGGCCTAGGTCCTTACTGGCCGGGCGTACCAATGAGCCTCCTAGGAGAAAGATGTAGGATTGTCATGAAGAGAGTATATTCCGGAGAGCCCAGCAGCTGATTGGACTAAGTGGTGAGTCTTTGTGCTCATAGATAAACATCCCAGCCTCTTGGCTTTGGGCCCAGGTACACAACCCTGCACCCCCACACCATCACCCATTGCAGTCCCAGTTTCAGGGCTGCAGACACCTCTCCTGCAGACAGGTTGAAATACCAACATCCCCCACCAGACCCTGTAACCTACAAGCCCCACCCCTCCCAAAGCCACCCAGACTCTGAGACTGCAGCTGCTCCCTGGGACAGACCACCAGACTAAGAGCTGCTCAAAGAGACATACAGTACATCAGCACCAATGGGACCAAGATTCCTGATTAAACCAAGAGCTCCCATTGAACCAAGTGTATTGTTAAGACCAAGAGAGGCTCCCTCAGACACAGATACCACATCCACTGAGTGGAGGAAAAGATGAGTAGATGCCAGTGCAAAAATACAGTCAACAACATAAAGACCAATATGGCACCATTAGAACCTAGAGGTTCTACATCAGCAAGACCTGAACATCCCAACACAGAAGAAGCAGAAGATATTGACCTTAAAAAATGACATTAAGAAGATGATAGTGGCCTTTAGAGATGAAATGAAAAATTCCTTTATAGAAGGAAAAGACAAACAATAAATTGGAAGAAATCAATGAATCCCTTAAAGAAACCCAAGAAAAAAACAAACAAATGAAGGAAACACTTCAAGATTTGAAAACTGAAATAGAGACAATAAAGAAGATGCAAATTCAGAGAATGTTGGAAGTGAAAAATCTGAGTAAATGAACAGGAACTACAGGTGTAGGCATAACCAACAGAATCCAAGAGATGAAGAGACATTCTCTGGTGGTGAGGATATAATAGAGGAAACAGATTTATCAGTCAAAGAAAACACTAAAGCCAAAAAAAGTCATAACACAAAACATCCAAGAAATTTGGGAAAATATTAAAAGACCAAACCTAAGAAAAATAGGGATAGTTGAAGGAGAATTCCAACTCAAAGTCACAGAAAATATATTCAACAAAATCATAGAAGAAAACTTTCCCAACCTAAAGAAGGAAATACCTATGAAGATACAAGAAGCTTACAGAACACCAAATAGACTGGATAAAAAAGTCTCCATGCCATAATAACAAGCTACTAAACATATAGAATTAAGACAAAATGTTAAGATCTGTAAGGAAAAAGACCAAGTAACATATAAAGATAGACACATAAGAATAGCACCTGATATCAAAGGAGACTCTGAAAGCAAGAGGTTTCAAGAGAGATATTATGTAGACACTAAGAGACCAGGGGTGCCAACCCAAACTATTATATCCAGCAAAACTCTCAATCACCATAGACAGAGTAAACAAAATATTCCATGATAAAACCAGATTAAAACAATACCTATCCACAAATCCAACCCTACAGAAAGCACTAGAAAAAAAAATCCAACCTAAGGAAGTTAAATACACTCATGAAAACACAGGCAATAGATAACCCCACACCATCAAATACAAAGAAGGGAAACACACAACACTACCACCAAAAGATAACAGGAAATAGAAATACTGGACATTAATATCCCTTAATATCAATGGTCCCGATTTGCCTATAAAAAGACACAGGCTAAGAGAATGAATATAAAATGAGGATACATCATTCTCATTCATATAAGAAACACACCTCAACTTCAGAGACAGACACTACCTCAGAGTAAAAGGCTGGAAAAAGACTTTCCGTTCAAATGGAGTTAAGAAGCAAGCTATAGCTATCCTAATAGCTAACAAAATAGACTTCAACTAAAATAAATCAAAAGAGATCAGGAAGGACATTACATATTTATCACAGGGAAAATCAACAAGATGAAATCTTAACTCTTAACATTTATCCCCCAAATACAAGGACACCCACATATGTAAAAGAAACATTACTAAAGCTTAAATCATACATCAAACACCACACACTAGTAGTGGGAGAGTTCAACACCCCACTATCACCACTGAACAGATCTACCAGAATGAAACTTAACAGAGAAACAAGGGACTTAACTGATGTTATGACTTAAATGGACTTAATAGATAACTACAGGATATTCTACCTGAAATTAAACAAATATAACTTCTTCTCAGCACCCCACGGAACATTCTCTAAAATAGACCACATTCTTGGTCACTAAGCAAATCTCAAAGGATACAAAAATTTAGAATAAGCTCCTGTATTTTATTGGACCACCATGGCTTAAAGGTACATTTCAACAACAACAAAAAAAATTACAGAAAGCCTAAAATCTAATGGAAAATGAATAATACCCAGCTGAATCATCAATGGGTCAATGAATAAAGAAAGAAAGAAATTAAAGATTTCCTAGAATTCAATGAAAATGAAGGTACAACATACCTAAAATTATGGGACACTATGAAAGCAGTGCTAAGAGGAAAATTCATAGCACTAAAGGTCAAAAAAAAAAAGAAGATGGAGAAATCTCACACTAGAGACTTAACAGCACACTTAAAAGCTCTAGAACAAGAGGAAGCAAACTCACCTTGGAGGAATAGATGCCAAGAAATAATCAAATCGAGGGCTGAAATCAATAAAATAGAAACAAAGATAACAATACAAAGAATCAATGAAACAAAGAATTGGTTCTTTGAGAAAAAAATCAACAAGACAGACAAGTTCTTATCAAAATTAACCAAAAGGCAGAGAGAGAGAGTAAATTAAATCAGAAATGAAAAGGGAGAAATAACAACAGGCAAAGAGGACATACACACAATCATCAGTTCATGCTATATGCCATAATATTGGAAAATCTTAAAGAAATGGACAATTTTCTGAATAGGTACCACATACCAAAGTTAAACCAAGACCAGATAAACTATTTAAATAGACCAATTACCCCTAAGGAAATAGAAACAGTCATTAAATGTCTGTCAACCAAAAAAATGCCCAGGACCAGATGGTTTCAGTGCAGAATTTTACCAGTTTTTCAAGAAGAGCTTATCCCAATACTCTCCAAATTGTTCCACACAATAGAAACAGAAGGAATATTACCAAACTTTTTATGAGGCTACAGTTACTGATACACAAAACACACAAAGTTGCAATAAAGAAAGAAAATTACAGACCAATCTCCCTTATGAACATTGATGCAAAAATACTCAATGAAATATTGGGAAACCGAATCCAAGAACATATAAAAAAATTATCCACCATGGCCAAGTAGGCTTCATCTCAGGGATGCAAGGATGATTCAACATACAAAAATCTGTCAATGTAATACACCATAGAAAAAAACTGAAAGAAAAAATACACATGATCTTCTCATTAGATGCTGAAGAAGCCCTTGACAAAATACAACACCCCTTCATGATAAAGGTCTTAGAGAGATGAGGAACACAAGGAATCTGAACATAAAGGCAATTTACAGCAATCCCACAGCCAATATCAAATTAAATGGAGAGAAATTCCTCCATTCCACTAAAAGCAATTCCATTAAAATCAGGAACAAGACAAGGCTTTCCACTCTACTCGTATTTACTCAATATAATGCTTCAAGTTCTAGCTAGAGCAGTAAGACAATAAAAGGAGATCAAATGGATAGGAATTAGAAAGGCAGAAGTCAAAGTTTCTCTATTTGCAGACAATATGATAGTATACCTAAGTGATCTCAAAAATTCTACCAAGAAACTTATACAGCCTCTTTGAAAATCAATAACTCTGTTTTTCTGAAAATGGGGAATCAATCTACCTGAAGACCTAGTTATACCACTCTTGGGCATATACTCAAGAAATGCTCAATCATACAATAAGGACACATGCTCAATTATGTTCATAGCAGCATTATTTGTAATAGCCAGAACATGGAAACTACATAGATGCTCCTCAACTGAAGAATGCATAAAGAAATTGTGGCACATATACACAATGGAGTACTCTCAGCAATAAAAAAAACATTGGTATCATGAAATTTACAGGCAAATGGATGGAACTAGAAAATAACATCCTGAGTCAGAAGGACAAACATGATATGTACTCACTCATAAGTGGATACTAGATGTAAAGCAAAGGATAACCAGACTGCAACCCACAGCCCCAGAGAAGCTAGCTAACAAGGAGGACCCTAAGAGGGAAACATAGAGCGCCCAGTGAAAGAGAAATAGATGAGATTTCCATCAGGAAACTGGGGGCGTTGGGTTAATGATAGGCTAGGGATGGGGGATGAGAATATAAGGGAAGTTGGAAACAGTGACAGAGTAGGAGAGAAAGGAGAGAGATACCATGGTAAATGAAGACACCATGATAATAGGGAAAAGTGCTGGGGAAGTTCCCAGTAATCCACAAGGTTGACCCCACCTTAGACTACTGTCAATAGTGGAGAGAGTGCCTGAACTGGCCTATTCCGGTAAGCAGATTAGTGATTACCCTAACTGGCATCATAGAGCCTTCATCCAGTAACTGATGGAAGCATATGCAGAAATCCACAGCCAAGCACAAGGCTGAGCTCCAGAATTCCAATCAATGAGAGAGAGGAGGGATTCTATGAGCAAGAGACATTGAGAGTATGATGGGAAAGCATACAGAGATTTGCCCAGACAAACTAGTGGAAACTCATGAACCATTAGCTGTGGAGTCCCCATGGGACTGGACTAGACTCTCTGGATAGGTGAGATAGTTGTTTAGGTTGAACTGGTTAGGGCCCCCCAGGCAGTAGGATTGGGGTCCATTCCTGGTGCATGAGTGGGCTTTTTGGAGCACAAAGCCTATGGTAGGACACCTTACACAGCCTTGGTGCAAGGATGAGGAGCTTGGACCTGCCCCAACTGAATGTACCAGGATCTGCTGAGTCCCCATGGGATACCTTGCCTTGGAGGAAGTGGGAATGGGGGGTGGGTTCAGGGAGAAGGCTCTGGGGTGGGAGGAGAGGGAGATCTTTAGTTGGTATGTACAATGAATAGAAATTTTCTTAATAATAAAAAAAAAGAAAAATCTGGCAAGAAACAAGCCAAGCCAAAGCGGGGCATTTATAATTAAAAAAATAATAATAAAATGAAAAATAAGTGTAAATTCACATGACAAATGAAAATTAAGATATAAAAATCATCTTTGAGAAACTCAGAACCATAAAATTAAAACAAACCTTCAATAGAGTAATAAGCATACAATTTACATTATAGAAAATAGAATCATATACAAAATATGGAAAGAAACAGAATAAGAATAAAACTCCCAGAATATTGATCTAAACGTCAAAAGTATTTTCAAGGCTATATTGAAATATAGCATGGTAGAAAGCAAAGCCAGCACTTTGTAATTGGTTGTTTAGCGTAGGTTGTTTCTGGGACTCCTAACAATGGGAATGTGGATATCTCTGACAGTAACTTGCTCTTGGGACCCTTTTCCTCCCACTGGTCCTACTTTGCCTCACCCAGCCTTGATATGGGAGTTTGTGCCTGGTCTTCTCACATCTTAAGATGACATTTTAGGTTCATATCCTGGGAAACCTGTACTTTTCTGAAGGAAAAGGAGGAACAGTGGATCTGGGGAAGAGAGGAATTGGGTGCAGGAATGGGAGATGAGAAAACAAAGTCTGCCATCAAAATATATAGTACATGCCGGGCAGTGGTGGTGCATGCCTTTAATCCCAGCACTCGTGAGGCAGAGCCAGGCAGATCTCTGTAGTTTGAGGACAGTCTGGCCTACCATGTGAGTTCCAGGAAATGCACAAAGCTACACAGAGAAACCCTGTCTCAAAAAACTAATATATATATAATCAGAAAAGAATTTTTTTAAAAGAACGGAAATAATAAAAAAAAGAAGAAATGTTAATGAAATACTACTTTATTATACTAAAACTATTATATAAAAAAAGAAAGTATATTCCGGCAAGTGACTGTCTGAGTCATGATATTAATGTATCTATGTGATGTTTCTATTCTTGTGTTCGTGATAATACAGGGGCCATATATATTTCAAAGATCTTGGGGGCCAGCACTATGGCTCAGTGGATTGAAGGTGTTTGCTGCCAAGCCTGAACACTACATTCAAAATCCAGGAGTCAATTTGGGAGATGGCAAGTGACACCCATATCTTGTCTTCTACATGGCCAGGTGCACCATTCCATACTAATCAGGACACATGCACGTGTGCACATAAACACATATCAACACACACACACACACACACACACACACACACACAAATACACATGCACACACACAGACACACAAATAAAGATAAGAGAGGATGTTAACATCAAGAAATATACTGGATTGGAATGGCACATTCCAGGCATATGTATGAAGCCATGAAACCATAGTGTTGCCTTCCTCCGTACCACACAAAGAGCAAATGGTAGTTTAGGCCTTTTAACTCTAGAGACTTCCAGCTAGACAGAGCTGGATCCAGGGATTAATTAAATTCTTGAAGACACTGTAATTCCTTGGACCTGAGTGACAACTGGGCATTAAAGGCTCTCCCTGGGAATCTCTGCTCCTTCTCATTCATTTTAGTCTTTAATGTGTGCATGAGTGTAAGATAAAGGAGAGAAAGAAGGGTAAATAGAGACACACTGTACACAATACATGCCAGTGGCCTCTGTGGAGGCTACTGGATGCTCAGGCGTTGGTCTGCAACTTCTCCCTTTCTGGGGGCAGGGTCTCAAGTCATCCTCTGCTCAGAGCTGGCTAGCTGCTCCAGGAACTTCAAGCTTGTTGCCTAGCTCTGCCTGCCATCTTACTACAGCCATGATAGGAGTCCTGATGTGTTTGTCTTCAGCTCTTATATGTGTTCTTGGGACCCAAAGAGAGGTCCACATGCTCCTTATCACTGGGAAAGCATCACATCATCTCCTCTGAACTCTCCATACCACTGTTTTGAGTGTACAGGGTATCGTGGACTATTCTATGTTTCCCAGAATGATCAGCAACTACGTAATATACCTCGAGAGACTCCTGAGTACTGGGGTTACATGCTCACAACACTCCATGCTACTTTTCCTACTATGGCTACTTGATCTAACTCCTGATTAATCCCCTCTCTAGGTGAGATATGGGAAAATATGTGCAACATTCATCCAAGGATGCTTCAGGTGCCACCAGGGGCTGTTAAGGTCTTTAACATTCTACCTCCTACACCTTCACCCTAGTGCCCTGCTGGTGTCTCAGACAGGGGCTACAAGGCTACAGGACAGAAGATAAGCCATGTTTCTAACTCACCTCAAGCAATAGGTGGAATAACTTTGGAGGCTTTGGAGAATTCTCCAGCAGGGGAGCTCCAATGGGTGTGGGACAGGGCCAGAAGTGGACTTGACCCAGAGGGTCAGTGGTCCTGGGACCTGTCTTCGCAGGTCCCTACTGGCCAGGTACACTGGTGAGTGTCCTAAGAGCAAAGAAGAGAGACTGTCATTAAGAGAGTAAATTAGGGATGGTTGTGGGGTTCAGTGGACACAGGCTTTTGCTGCCAGTCCAAGGACTGGAGTGAACTATCCAGATCTCAGGACCCACATGGGAGGAGAGAAATGATACCCACAAGTTGTCCTCAGACCCATGCCCATGTGTGATGGTATACCGTGGCTGGGTGTACAAGTCACACAATCCATGTGATACAAATACTTTTAAAAAAGGCATGTGTATAGTTATTAGGGAATATATTCAGTTGGCCGAGTCCAGTCTCGCATGCAGGAAGTCATAGGTTCTCTCTTCAGCACCGAAAGCCACGTGATAACTCAGGCAGTGATCCTGCCTCTCCCAAGGCTGGAGGCAACTGACAGAGCAGTTGAAAGTCTTCCTTGGTGAGACAGTGAGTCCCTACAGTGAGCCATCCGACGTGATTTATAAAACCATGAAGTGCCATTAGAGGCTCTCCTTCAGAATGTCCACTTACTCTGCTTCATGTCACTGTTTGCACTTGCCTCTGTGTCTCCTGTAACTGGACACCCACACACTGGCCTGTGAGCAGGCTCAACATGTCTCCTGCAAGTATTTGGAGGGAACCAGGCATCATAGGATGTGGTCCCAGCCTTCCACCTTTTTGAAACAGTTGCTTTTCTCCATTGTGCTCCCCCAGCCTGCTGCCCTATGAATTTCTAGACTCTTTGTATCACCTCTGCCTCCCAGGTGGCCACAGAAAGCCCTTGAGTATGACCTATGCTACTCCCTCAATTTTGCCTGTATTGTTGGGCCTCAAACTCAGATCCTCTGCTGGCTGGCAGGGTCTTACCCAATAAGCCATCTCCTCAGCTCCTCCTCCTCCACTGCCGAGGGTCCAGGCCAGCCTGGGACATCTTATGTTTCCAGGCTCATCTCTAAACAGTAAATTATTGTGAGCCTCCTGAGTGGTGGCATCTCAGGCCACCAGCCCCTTAAGCACATGATCTTTGGCCCTCATCCTTGACTTCCACTCCTCTTGGTCCATCCAAGACTTCTCCCCGTGCCTAGCACAGGAAGCACTCCTTGTATGAGTGGGGTCTGTGACTGTAGAACCATCTTCCTTCCAAGTCTTCTCCGGTCCCCTCCCAGGGCTGTAAGGTCTCTACCCTCCACCTCCAGCATCTGCAAGTGCAGAAACCTAGAGCTTTCTAGGCATGAGTCAGAGGTTGGGGCCATGGTACAGATGATAATTCAAGTTTCTCACTCACCTCAAGAAATAGGGGGGATAACTTCCCGGGTTTGTGGAAGTCTCCTCCTGCAAGTGAGCTCCAATGGTGCGGGTCCGGTAATGGACTTGACCCAGAGGGTCAGAGGTCCTAAGACCTGATGGTCTAGGTCCTTACTGGCCGGGCGTACCAATGAGCCTCCTAGGAGAAAGATGCAGGATTGTCATCAAAAAAGTATATTCTGGAGAGCCCAACAGCTGATTGGACTAAGAGGTGAGTCTTTGTTCTCATAGACAAAAATCCCAGCCTCTAGGCTTTGGGCCTAGGAAAAGACCCTTGCACCCCCACACCATCTCCCATTGCAGTCCCAGTTTCAGGCCAGCAGACACATCTACTGCAGACAGGTTGAAATACCACCATCCCCCACCAGACCCTGTAACCTACAAGCCCCACCCCTCCCAAAGCCACCCACCATCTGAGACTGCAGTGGCTCCCTGGGACAGAGGCCACCGACTAAAAGCTGTTCCCAGAGACACAGAGTCCATCAGCACCAATAGGACCAAGATTGCCGATTAACCAACAGCTCCCATTGAACCAAGAGTATTGTTCAGACCAAGAGAGGCCCTCTCAGACAAAGATACCACATCCACTGAGTAGAGGAAAAGATGAGTAGATATTAGTGCAAAAATACAGTCAATAACAAAGACTAATATGGCACCATTAGAACCTAGTGGTTCTACATCAGCAAGACCTGAACATCCCAACACAGAAGAAGCAGAAGATATTGACCTTAAAAATGACATTAAGAAGATGATAGTGGCCTTTAGAGATGAAATGAAAAATTCCCTTATAGAATTCGAGGAAAAGACAAACAATAAATTGGAAGAAATCAATGAATCCCTTAAAGAAACCCAAGAAAAAAACAAACAGGTGAAGGAAACACTTCAAGATTTGAAAACTGAAATAGAGACAATAAAGAAGATGCAAACTCAGAGAACGCTGGAAGTGCAAAATCTGAGTAAATGAACAGGAACTACAGGTGTAGCCATAACCAACAGAATGCAAGAGATGAAGAGAGAATCTCTGGTGGTGAGGATATAATAGAGGAAATAGATTTGGCAGTCAAAGAAAACACTAAAGCCAAAAAAGTCCTAACACAAAACATCCAGGAAAATTGGGAAAACATTAAAAGACCAAACCTAAGAAAAATAGGGATAGATGAAGGAGAATTAGAACTCAAAGGCACAGAAAGTATATTCAACAAAATCATAGAGGAAAACTTTCCCAACCTAAAGAAGTAAATGCCTATGAAGTTACAAGAAGCTAACTGAATACCAACTGGATTGGATAAAAAAAAAATCCCCCTTGCCATGTAATAACAAGCTGCTAAACATATAGAATAAAGAAAAAAATGTTAAGTTCTGTAAAGGAAAAAGGCCAAGTAAAATATAAAGACAGGCCCATCAGAATAGCACCTGATCTCAAAGGAGACTGTGAAAGCCAGAAGGTCCAGGCGAGATGTTATACAGACACTAAAGACAATCGGTGCCAACCCAAACTATTATACCCAGCAAAACTCTAAATCACCATACACAGAGTAAAAAATATTCCATGATAAAACCAGATTAAAACAATAAATATCCACAAATCCAACCCTACATAAAGCCATCAGAATAGCACATGATCTCAAAGGAGACTGAAAGCCAGAAAGTCCAATACAGATGTTATGCAAACACTAAGAGACCAGAGGGGCCAACCCAAACTATTATACCCAGCAAAACTCTCAATTACCAAAGACAGAGTAAAAAAAATATTCCATGATAAAACCAGATTGAAACAATACCTATCCATAAATCCAGCCCTACAGAAAGTACTAGAAGGAAAAATCCAACCTAAGGAAGTTAAATACACCCATGAAAACTCAGGCAATAGATAACCCCACACCATCAAATACAAAGACGGGAAACACACAACAACAACACCAAAATATAACAGGAAATAACAATGACTGGACATTAGTATCCCTTAATATCAATGGTCTGAATTTGCCTATGATAAGACATAGGCTACCAGAATTGATATAAAAAGAGGATACATCATTCTGTTGCATACAAGAAAAACATCTCAACTCACAGACAGACACTACCTCAGAGTAAAAGGCTGAAAAAAATCTTTCCATTCAAATGGACTTAAGAAGCTAGCTATAGCTATTCTAATATCTAAAAAAATAGACTTCAAACTTAAAAAAATCAAAAGAAATGGGGAAGGACATTACATATTTATCACAGGGAAAATCACCAAGATGAAGTCTTAGTTCTGAACATTTATGCCCCAAATACAAGGACACAAATATGTAAAAGAAATATTACTAAAGCTTGAATCGTACATGAACCTCCCCCCCACAATAGTAGTGGGAGACTTCAACATCCCACTCTCACCACTGGACAGATCTGCCAGAATGAATCTTAACAGAGAAATAAAGAACTTAACTGATGTTATGACTCAAGTGGACTTAATAGATATCTACAAATTATTATAACGCAATATAAACAAATGTACCTTCTTCTCGGCACCCCATGGAACATTCTCTAAAATAGACCACATTCTTGGTCACAAAGCAAATTTCAACCTATACAAAAAAATTGGAATAACCTCCGTATTTTATTGGACCACCAGGGCTTAAAGATAGATTTCAACAACAACAATAAAACTTACAGAAAGTATAAAATCTAATGGAAAATGAATAATGCCCAACTAAATCATCAATGGGTCAATGAATAAAGAAAGAAAGAAATTAAAGATTTCCTAGAATTCAATGAAAATGAAGGTACAACATACCTAAAATTATGGGACACTATGAAAACAGTGCTAAGAGGAAAATTCATAACACTAAGGGCCAAAAAGAAAAGATGGAGAAATCTCACACTAGCGACTTAACAGAACACCTGATAGCTCTAGAACAAGAGGAAGCAAACTCACCTTGGGGAAATAGATGCCAAGAAATAATCAAATCGGGGACTGAAATCAATAAAATAGAAACAAAGATAACAATACAAAGAATCAATGAAACAAAGAGTTGGTTCTTTGAGAAAAAATCAACAAGATAGACAAGCTCTTATCCAAATTACCAAAAGGCAGAGATAGAGCATCCAAATTAAAAAATAAGAAATGAAAAGGGAGACATAACAACAAACAATGAGGACCTACAGAGAATTATCTGTCATGCTGCATGCCACAATATTGGAAAATCTTAAAGAAATAGACAATTTTCTGGATAGGTACCACATACCAAAGTTAAACCAAGACGAGATAAACTATTTAAATAGACCAATAACCCCTAAGGAAATAAAACCAGTCATTATATGTCTCCCAAAGAAAAAAGAAAAGAGCCCAGACCAGATGGTTTCAGTGCAGATTTTACCAGATATTCAAAGAAGAGATAATACCAATACTCTTCAAATTGTTCCACACAATAGAAACGAAAGGAATATTACCAAACTTTTTATGTAGCTAGTTACTCTGATACTCAAACTACACAAAGATGCAATAAAGAAAGAGAATTACAGTCCAATCGCCCTCATGAATATTGATGCAAAAATATTCAATAAAATATTGGCAAACCGCATCTAAGAACACATAAAAAAATTATCCACCATGGCCAAGTAGGCTTCACCTCAGGTATGCAAGGATGATTCAACATACAAAAATCTGTCAATGTAATACACCATAGAAACAAACTGAAAGAAAAAAAACACATGATCTTCTCATTAGATGCTGAAGAATCCTTTTACAAAATCCAACACCTCTTCATGATAATGGTCCTAGAGAGATCAGGGACACAAGGAACCTAAACATAAAGGCAATTTACAGCAAGCCCACAGCCAATATCAAATTAAATGGAGAGAAATTCAAAGCAATTCCATTAAAATCAGGAATAAGACAAGGCTTTCCACTCTCCTGGTATTTACTCAATATAATGCTTGAAGTTCTAGCTAGAGCAATAACACAACAAAAGGAGATCAAAGGGATAGGAATTAGAAAGGGAGAAGTCAAACTTTCTCTATTTGCAGACAATATGATAGTATACCTAAGTGACCTTGAAAATTCTACCAGGAAACTTATACAGCCACTTTGGAAATCAGTATGCCTGATTTTCCGAAAATTGGGAATCAATCTTCCTCAAGACCCAGTTATACCACTCTTGGGCATATACTCAAAGAATGCTCAATCATACCACAAGGACACATGCTCAACTATGTTCATAGCAGCATTATTTGTAATAGCCAGAACATGGAAACAACCTAGATGCCCCTCAACTGAAGGATGCATAAATAAACTGTGGCACATATACACAATGCAGTACTCTAACCAGTAAAAAACAAAACAAAACAAAACAAAAAAAACTCATTGGTATCATAAAATTTACAGGCAAATGGATGGAACTAGAAAATAACATCCTGAGTCAGAAGGACAAACATGGTATGTACTCACTCATTAATTGGATACTAAATGTAAAGCAAAGGATAACCAGACTACAAACCACAGCCCCAAAGGAGCTAGATAACAAGGAGGACCCTAAGAGGGAAGCAAAGATCGCCCAGTGAAGGAGAAATAGATGAGATCTCCATGAGCAAACTGGGGGTGTTGGGTTAATGACAGGCAAGGGATGTGGGATGAGAACATAAGGGAATGGGAGGTTCAAGTTGGAACAGGGACAGAGTGGGAGAGCAAGGAAAGAGATACCATAATAACTAAAGACACCATGGTAATAGGGAGAAGTGCTAGGGAAGTTCCCAGGAATCCACAAGGATGACCCCACCTTAGACCACTGTCAATAGTGGAGAGATTGCCTGAACTGGCCTATTCCGGTAATCAGATTAGTGATTAGCCTAACTGGCATCATAGAGCCTTCATCCAGTAACTGATGGAAGTACATACAGAAATCCACAGCCAGGCACCAGGCCAAACACCAAGAGTCCAATCAATGAGAGAGAGGAGGGATTCTATGAGCAGGAGACATTGAGAGTATGATGGGAAAGCATACAGAGATGGCCAGCCAAACTAGTGGAAACTCATGAATGTGGACCATTAGCTGAGGAGTTCCCATTGGACTGGACTAGACTCTCTGGATAGGTGAGATAGTTTTTTAGCTTGAACTGTTTAGGGCCCTCCAGGCAGTAGGACTGGGATCTATTCCTGGTGCATGAGTGGGCTTTTTGGAGCCCAGAGCCTATCGTAGGACACCTTACACAGCCTTGATACAAGGGGGAGGAGCTTGGACCTGCCCAACTGAATGTACCAGGATCTGCTGAGTCCCCATGGAAGACCTTGGCTTGGAGGAAGTGGGAATGGGGGGTGGGTTCAGGGAGAAGGCTCTGGGGTGGGAGGAGGGAGGAGAGGGAGATCTGTAATTGGTATGTACAAAGAATAGAAATTTTCTTAATAATGAAAAAAAGAAAAATCTGGCAAGAAACAAGCCAAGCCAAAGCGGGGCATTTATAATTTAAAAAAATGAAAAATAAGTGTAAATTCACATGACAAATGAAAATTAAGATATAAAAATCATCTTTGAGAAACTGAGAACCACAAAAGTAAAACAAACCTCCATTAGAGTAACAAGAAAACAATTTACATTACAGAAAATAGAATCATATACAAAATATGGAAAGAAACAGAATGAAAATAAAATTCCAGAATATAGATCTAAAAGTCAAAAGTAATTTCAAGGCCATATTGAAATATAGCATGGTAGAAAGCAAAGCCAGCACTTTGTAATTGGTTGTTTAGTGTAGGTGGTTTGTGGGACTGCTAACAGTGGGAATGTGGATATCTCTGACTGTAACTTGCTCTTGGGACCCTTTTCCTCCCACTGGTCCTACTTTGCCTCACCCAGCCTTGTTAGGGGAGTTGTGCCTGGTCTTATTACATCTTAAGATGACATTTTAGGTTGATATACCTGGGAAACCTGACCTTTCTGAAGGCAAAGGATTAACAGTGGATCTGGGGAAGAGAGGAGGTGGGGGACGGGAATGGTAGAAGAAGAGAGAAGAAAGGCTGCCATCAAAATATATTGTACCAGAGAAGAATTTTTTTAAAAGAACGGGAATAATAGAAAAAAGAGGAAATGTTAATTAAATAATACTTTATTGTAATAAAACTATTATATACAAAAAAGTAAGTATATTCCAGCAGGTATATGTCTGAGTCATGATATTTATCTATCTATGTGTTGTTTCTATTCTTTGTTCATTATAATACAGGGGCCATATATATTTCAAAGATCTTGGGGTCCAGCAATATGGCTCAGTGGATTGAAGGTATTTGGAGCCAAGCCTGAACACTACATTCAAAATCCAGGTTTCAAATTGAGAGATGGAAACTGACTCCCACATCTTTCTTCTGACATGGCCAAGTGCCCCATTCCATGCTAATCAGGGCACATGCACATGTACACATAAAAACATACTAACACCAACACCAACACACACACACACACACACACACACACACACACACACACACACAAATAAAGATAAGAGAGGATGTTAACATCAAGGAATATGCTGGATTGGAACGGCACATTCCTGGCATATATATGAAGCCATGAAACAATAGGGGTGCCTTCCTCTGTACCACACAAAGAGCAAATGGTAGTTTAGGTCTTTTAACTCTACAGACTTCCAGCTAGATGGATATGGATCTGGGTTTTAATTACATTCTTGAAGACACTGTAATTCTTTGACCCCTGAGTGACAACAGGCCATTAAAAGCTCTCCCTGGGAAACTCTGCTCCTTCTCATTCATTTTAGTCTTTATATGTGTGCATGAGTGTAAGATAAGGGTAAATAGAGACACACTGTACGCAATACATCCAGTGGCCTTTGTGGAGGCTACTGGATGCTCAGGTGTTGGTCTGCAACTTCTCCCTTTCTGGGGGCAGGGTCTCAAGTCATCCTCTGCACAGAGCTGGCTAGCTGGTCAAGGAACTTCAAGCTTGTTGCCTCACTCGGCCTAACATCTTACTACAGTCATGATAGGAGTCCTGAGGTGTTTGCCTTCAGCTCTGATATATGTTCTTGGGACCCAAAGAGAGGTCCACATGCTCCTTATCACTGGGAAAGCATCACATCATCTCCTCTGAACTCTCCATACCACTGTTTTGAGTGTACAGTGCATCCTGGACCATTCTATCTTTCCCAGAATGATCAGCAACTACATAATATACCTCGAGAGACTCAGAGAACTAGTGTTACATGCTCACATCACTTCATGCTACTTTTCCTCCTATGGCCACTTGATCTAACCAGGGGCCTTCATGGTTAATCCCCTCTCTAGGTGGGATATGGGAAAATATGTGCAACATCCATCCAAGGATGCTTCAGGTCCCACCAGGGTCTCTTAAGTCTTTAACATTCTACCTCCTACACCTTCACCCTAGTGCCCTGCTGGTGTCTCAGACAGGGGCTACAAGGCTACATTACAGAAGATAAGCCATGTTTGTAACTCACCTCAAGCAATAGGGGGAGTAACTTGGGAGGCTTTGGAGAATTCTCCAGCAGGGGAGCTCCAATGGGTGTGGGGCAGGGCCAGAAGTGGACTTGACCCAGAGGGACAGTGGTCCTGGGACCTGTTGTCGTAGGTCCCTACTGGCCAGGCACACTGGCGAGTGTCCTAAGAGCAAAGATGAGGGACTGTCATTAAGAGAGTAAATTAGGGATGGTTGTGGGGTTCAGTGGACACAGGCCTATGTGCCAGTCCGAGGACTGGAGTGAACTATCCAGATCCTCAGGACCCACATGGGAGGAGAGAAATGATACCCACAAGTTGCCCTCAGACCCATGCCTGTGTGCTACGGTATACCATGGCTGGGTGTACAAGTCATACAATCCATGTGATACAAATACTTTTAATAAAGGCATGTGTATGTTTAATAGGGAATATATTCAGTTGACCAAGTACCAGTCTCACATGCAGGAAGCCATAGGTTCCCTCGTCAGCAACTAAAGCCATGTGATAACACAGGCCAGTGATCCTGGCTCTCCCAAGGCTGGAGGCAGCTGACAGAGCAATTGAAAGTCCTCCTTGGTGAGACAGTGAGTCCCTACAGTGAGCTATCTGACATGTTTTTGTAAAACCATGAAGTGCCATTAGAGGCTCTCCTTCAGAATGTCCACTTACTCTGCTTCATGTCACAGTTTGCACTTCCCTCTGTGTCTCCTGTAGACTGGACACACACACTGGCCTGTGAGCAGGCTCAACATGTCTCTTGCAAGTATTTGGAGGGAACCAGGCATCA